TCCAGACTGAAAAGAAGTTGTGGCATCTGCATATTCGAAAATCTAAATTTCCACCATAATTCATCTGGAGTTAGCCCGAACGATAACGCGCGGCATCAGCAAACTAACCGCTGGTAAAGCTGCCGATGTCTCTTTTCTGGGAATTAGAAACAGGCTGTGATTTTTTTTTAGAAACAGGTTGAGGTGATTTTGACTGTAGTTTATCACGAAATCATAGAGGAACTGGTTATTCCAGAGGTCGAGACGGCCTTGAGCACGAGAGTGTCGCATCGTTCCGGCCAGCTCGCAGGGGCACAAGTCACGGAGTAAAAACTGCTTGCATTCAGAAAGCCTTTAAAAACTCCCAGATGTGATCAGCAAACTGTGACATGCGCGTCTTCAAAATCCACTGCTGACAGCTATTACAGTTAAATGATACAGCAATGCCTATACCTACACTTTATGGGGCTATGTTCATATTTTTTTTTCACTTTGTTTGGTTGTAGGTATGTGAAAGTTATGTTCCTCAAAAATTTTGCATAAATAAAAGTGTTGGTAAGGAATAAAGTTGATAACTGTACGTAGAACGCTTAAGCGCAGGCCTAGGTACTCGAAATGTGTGGAACACTTATTAATTCATAACATCTCTCAATCTCCAGCTGGTTTGGCGAATTTTGCGTGCTTGATGGTCAGTTTGCTGGCGATCCTCATGTTATGTTTCTAGAGGAATTTCAGACTTGACGGTTTCTCCTGGAGAATATTTTACCAAGACTTAGATGTTTCGAAATGTGTGTATATGTGGGTGTATGTGTATGATGGGATTCGGTATCTTCGCCTGAACGTTGCCGTTTTCAGATCACGATGAGATAGTTCGTCGACTGAAAGTCAGAAAGACAAATGTTGTTGGGGTGTTGGAGTGTGGTTTTCAGTTGGACTTTTTAAATTTGCCGCATTTACATCTCATTGTTTCGTACAGAAGCCATGTGATACTGGCTTGTTACTTCACTCCTTGAGTGTTGGAAATGTGCAGACAGCTTGTACTGCAATTTTAACTTGCTTGGCATAGAAATTTGAAGTGGTACTGAGGATCAAGTGAGTGTAGTATTTCTTGGAATCACTCAGCTGCGCCAAAAATGTCCTCAGATACGTTGTTGGTGAACCAAGTGATAGTCAAATACAAAAGGATTTGCGGAAATATTTCACGTATTCTTGGTGTTGATACAGTTAATATGAAGATGCATCGATTACGAAAATCATTCATTTTTGCTGTTCGTTGGTTCCGAGAATGCTTACAAATTAGTGGGATGCAGTGCTGTAGTGCAAATTCTTTCAGATCAGGGGAGTGTTCTGTGTAGATCCCAAACTTCCGTGAGGGGTCCATTAAAAGGTAGATGCATTAATTAAGATAACGTTTCCGGAAAGCCTTATGGCTTGGGAACTTGAAAATATGCGCTGAAACAAAAAAGGGATTTTGCATGGACGGCGAAATACTTCGAATGCTTAAGGCTTTCACAGAGGACATTGTTTATCACAGAGAATCTACAGTCGTTGTTGAATCTGTAAAAGAACCTGTGATTGCTGTGAGGGAAATTGGGCTTAAAATTCGTTCAGCAGAAATCAAGTGGATGAAAAATGCGCATTGTTCTCAGTTTAACATAATATTAGTGGAATAGCTCCGAGGTGACTGTTTTTATTTGGTGCAAACGACAAAGAGCAATAGCGATTTGTGCAAGAAGCTAAGTAGGAGAATACCAGCAAATCGTCTGCAGCAGACTAAAAGACATTTTCGCTCGGCATCCAGGGGAAAACAAGATGCGGATGTCCAGAACATCACATCTGAGTAGTGCCACTGCCTGAACTCCGGTCAGCTCGAGAAGCATGCAGTATTATTACCAGTTAACGGAAGGACAACAGGTCTGGATACGGAGATAAACGCTCAAAGTATCTATTGAACCGAATGGCGAGAGCTTTCCAAAGTTCGCTGCCGCATTCGCGCGGCATCCAGGACAAAACGAGATGCGAATTTCCAGAATATCCCATCTGAGTAAATGCCACTGCCTGAACTGCGGTCAGCTCGAGAAGCATGCAGTTATGATCATTTAACAGGAGAACTTTCCATTCGTATATGCTTGCGAGTTTCTGTTGGCTTTTTCAGGTGCAGTTCCGTGTCCAGCGCTTTATTTCAAGTAAATTTTCAGATGCGCACTGTGGACGAAGATATCATTTGTACGTTGTATACGCTGGACCAGGTGATGTCGCTGTGCGCAAACCGCTCGGCTCGCGCCCCCTTCACGCTGGTCGATTGTTTGGACGGTGCCGCTTCCCAGAACTTCGACTGGCACTCAGCAGATCTACAGGTCATGAGCAATTGCTTCTGCATGCGAACACTGCTCAGAAATGCTACTGAACGCGAGCTCCTGCTACTGCCCACTCTCAGTTTCCGTTAGTTTTTTATTTTCAGTAATTAGTAACTGCTCTTTTGGAAGAGAAATAAATTTGACCGCTTTGCCCCCGATATTTCCATTACTTCAGTCACATGTGTGCAGTCGGCGGCCCGCGGAAGGAAT